TCCCAAGCTGACTTGGGCTTAATACGTGGCTGGGCTTATTAACCGTGGGCTTTATAACCGGCGACTACTGTACCCTCTACGATAGCGAGGGATCTGGCGACGGCAAAGCCGACAATGATAACATTCAAGTAAGGTTGAAATGTCCACAAGGAAAAGCTTCGGTAACAGGCAAGCGAGACCAAAGAGCAGGTGAATGGTTGGGCAAGTGAAATCGTCAGTTTGATCTAAGGCATTTGCCGGGGATATGTTTGCTTGGCAAGCCCGCCTTGCAGCACGCGCTCGCAAATCATTCTAGTGGTACAAGTGTTGGTCCACGCGTTAGGGTTCTTGAACAGGCTTCCGTCCTGATGCTGCTGTTGAATTCCTTCGCAGAATTTCAGCCTACAGCGTTCCACTTATGTATGAAAGTAACCGAAAGAGACCTAAAGACCAGCTCCTCCAGAAGGCGGATAATCGTCAACCTGCCCCGTGGCCGCTGGTAAGCACCTGGTCATATCAGACGGGTAAGTTCGTGGACTCGAGGTGAAGTCTATCAATTACATTGAGTTGTTTAGGCTCGATGGAAGCATTTTAGAGCTACCTCCCAGTATGAAAACTAAACAGGATGAATTTGTGGACTCTCGGTTTAAGCCGTACATAAATATCACTGAAATATGCCAGCTTGGAGCGAAAGCATTGCCAAATAAATGCCACTAGCGACGACTAGCATCTATTTGAGCTGTGGCCATGCCCGATCTAACCGGCCTCAGAGACATTGCTTGCACATGAACGATCATACGTGGAGCCTAACCTGGTTTTCTAAACGCACTTCTGTCCTCAACAACAACAATGACAATAATTATCTCCATACCTTTACGGAGTAAATGTTGAACTGATTAATTTATCGCCGTGAGTAAGGCGGTGGCCTCAAATTTAATACAAAAGCACTGAGGGCACAGAGCGGAACCAAGCCACGGCGGTCCTCCTTCTTGGAAGGTCTCAATCATGCTCGCGATTTTGTCGCAGCCAGCGCACACTGTCTCCTTCGGGACAAAGACAGCGTAGTTTGCTCGAAGGATCGTTCTCATGGAACTTTAGACTGTCCGACAGGTTCACAGTCGACGGATAGTGAAACTGTCTTTAGCGATGGCCTACTAAGAAATAGGCAGGCTCTCGGGTCTAACTGATGAACAGTCGTGAACCATACAGAAGCAAGACCTTTAGATGTACTTGGGTACCGAGTTCACAGATCGAGTTATAATAAAAAGGTAACAAACTACTTCTGTATTGGGACTGCCTGCCGTGACTGACTGCTGTACTGCCTGCCATCGCCCTAGGTACTAGGGTCTCAACATACACTATTGCCGTGAGCTCCCGTGGATATTCAGGACTTATATTGGGAAATCTGGATCCGGAAAAACCTGTATTGGGGTTTGGCTAAGCAACAGCGATAAGGGCTGTGGTGCTGATGATGGTGGTGGAGGGGTAGGGGGTAGCAAGGGGAGGAGAAAACTCATACTTTCGCTCACGAAATAAAGTATTGTAAATATATTTATAACATCACTCGAAAGAGACCAACGTAGAAGTGTACAATTTTACCTGTGGATGCGCTTTCCGCCCAGTGGGCCCGACTGCCAGGCACCAAGTATGGTGAATCCCTCGTAGACCTGTAGAACAAGTCGGACACTGTGAAGGGGAAAGAGGTGACTTACAGGTAGCACGAGTGCCTCTCTATACCCGCAGTCAAGAACCAGTGCGGTTGATATGCCGAGGGTGAAAAGGGAAACAACGTGGGCGGGAGCAAAAATTAAAGAGGGCACCTGTTGGACGAGGAAGCGATAGGATTAACTGGATATCCGGATAACAAACCTCAAAGTGCATAAAAAGAATTTCACCCAGTGTATCTTTGAACTTGGAGGGTGTCATGATTGATTCTATCACTACTACACGACGGTCCTTGGGATTCACTATGAGGTACCTTCAAAAGAGAGGAGTTTCAACTGCATGAGAGGGTAAACTTGCCTATAGCAGAGTCGATGAATGAGTTCTTTAAAGAGTTCCCGAAGATTTTCAGTCTAAATTTGGAGAAAGAGGGGATTAGTAGAGTGCCAGTCAAAATAAACAAATTGTGACAGTATGAAGAAACGACATGACTGGAAAACAGGCTTTGGCAGCTAAATTTGAACAAGTTATCCTCGTTTAACGCGGAACCCATTAAGACAAGGTAAAATGAAGCGTGCGCCTAGAGAGACAGAAAACCGACCGTAACGTCCGAACACGATAGAGGACACGAAACAAGCAGTTTATACTCTAGCTCAAATGGTGGTTGAAGTTAAGTTTCAACTAGTTGAGATAAGAACCTAAACTACCGGTTAAGACAAGGACTATTCGTTGATTAGCTGAAGACAGCAAATGAGACAAAAATGGTCATTCCAGCCATCTTTGCTTTCGGCTTTATGTCCTAATTACTGGTGGCTCATTGCACTGTTGTCGTTTGCGAGATGTCTCGACCGGGACCGCAAGAAAATGAAAAAGTGAATTCTGCCCTTCGGTTGGGGCAGACCGATGAATGCCGCGCTAGCTTGACGCCCCGGTAAAAGGCAAGCGCAAGTTGTGAGGGCTCCGTCGCCAGAACACACGAGCATGGGCTAGAAAAGATCACTGGCTTAAGTCAAGCCTCGGCATTTTCTTACCAATGTTCCCAAGTTTTGATAAACCCTAATTAGAAGGCAACGCAATAAAAAC